GTTGGCGACGTCGTCGTCGTCTTCGTCGTCGTCGTCGACGTCGGCGTCGTCGTCGTCCTCGTCGTCGGTGTCGTCGTTGTCGTCGTCGTCGGCGTCGTCATCGTCGTCGTCGTTGTTATCGTCGTCGTCGTCGTCGGCGTCGTCGTCGTCGTCGGTGTCGTCGTCGTCGTCGTCGTCGTCGTTGTCGGCGTCGTCGAAGTCGTTGGAGACGTCGTCGGTGTCGTCGTACTCGTTGTCGGCGTCGTCGTCGTCGTTGTCGCTGTCGTCGTCGGCGTCGCTGTCGTTGCCAGACCAAGTTGCGGGTGGGTGGGTGGGATGTTTGCGCGAGCAGTGGAGTGGACAACTCACTGCGAACAGAAATTGAACTGCACCACATAGATTGCACCACATGACATGCACAACTCAGAGAGCATATTCATCATCATCATCATCACCACCATCGTCACCATCATCATCATCATCATCATCATCATCACCATCATCATCATCATCATCGTCGTCGTCATCATCAACATTAGCAGCAACAGCAGCAGCATTGCCATCATCAGCAGCAGCATCGCCACCATCGTCACAACCATGGTCACCATCATCACCAGCATCATGGCCATCCTCGTCGTCGTCGTCATCGTCGCCATCATCATTAGCACCACCACCACCACCACCATCACCACCACCACTGCCCTCGTAGTAATCGCCGATATCACAATCGTTATCACCACCAATATCACCATCATCATCACCACCACTACCATCACCGTCACCGTCAAGCGTCACCATTACTATCATCACTACCAGCACCATCATCACCATCATCATCATCACCACCACCACCATCAGCAGCATCATCATCACCATCATCGTCACAACAACCATGAGCATCCATCATCATCATCATCATCATCCTCATCCTCATCATCATCATCATCATCATCATCATCATCATCATCATCGTAATCGTCATCATCATCATCATCATCATCATCATCATCATCATCATCATCATCATCATCGTCATCGTCATCGCCAGCATCATCATCATCACCACCACTACTGTCACCATCACCCGTATCCATTCTGCTCCAAGCTGTCCCTGTTGCTCCCCCAGGCGGCAGCCGGCGGCCGCCGAGCAGCCCAGCACGCGGCCACGCGGGCCCCCCCAGGACCGCGGGGCCGCCGCTCGCCCTGCCTCGCTCGCCGCACGGCGACGGGGAGGTGCCGGGGCTGCAGCGCAGCTTCGCCGCGGCGCCGCGCTGGCACGCTGCCGCCCGCGTCGCAGACGGCTCCTTGCTCGCGGGAGCGCGATGCTGGGCCGCGGCCCCGCTCAGCGCCATCGGCGCTGGCTGCGGACGTGCCTCAGGGGCGCCGAGCCGGAGCCGCCGGTCGTGGCGGAGGGCGGCGCCGCGGCGGCCGGGCGCGGGCTGCACGTCGAGAGCTCAGCGACGCGGAAGCCGTGGTATGCGGCGCGGGCGTGCTCGAGTGCGCGTTCGGCTCGCCTGGGGTTTCGCGCTGAGCGCGCGCGGCAGGAGTTCAGGCTCAAGGGCGCTGCCACGCAAAAAAAAGATAGGCACCCGATGGCCCGTCGGCGTGAAGGAGGGAACGGCGCCCCTCTTCAGGCGTTGACCGGCGCAGGCGTTCAGTGCAGGCGCCATACCATCGGCTGGCGCGCGCGCGCACGAGCACGCCGCGTGCCGCGTGGCAGCGTCGGCGGCAGGCAGCTGGCGCTGGGCCAGACTCTCGCCATGAGCCATACCGAAGGCCACCGCCGCCCTGCCCACGGCGTTGGCCCGCGGCGGGCGCGGAAGCCACGGAGGCGGACTGACACCCGCAGGATCGCCAGCCTGCCTCCCGCCCACGGCAGAGGTTGACGAGGACGTGGTCGCTGCTCACCTTTGAGGCCACGGATCCAAGGTGCACGAGAGAAGGCTGCTGTAGAATGCTGCAGTATGCCTGTCGCTGGCGCGCTATGCGCCCATCCACACGCAACCGGCCATGCACGCGACATGCTGGCTCCGCCAGCATGGGCGCGGGCGGCGAGAAGGCGTCTCATTCAGAGACGGCGGCGACGCTCGAGGAGGAGGAGGAGGAGGAGGAGGAGGAGGAGGAGGAGGAGGAGGAGAGGGAGGAGGAGGAGGAGGAGCAGGACGAGGAGGATAAGGAGGAGGAGGAGCAGGAGGAGGAGGCGGAGGAGAGGAGGAGGAGGAGGAGGAGGAGAAGGCGGAGGAGGAGGAGGAGGAGGAGGAGGAGGAGGAGGAGAGGGAGGAGGAGGAGGAGGAGGAGGAGGAGGAGAAAGAGTAGAAGGAGGAGGACAAGGACAGGGACATCCGCCGTGACGCAGGCGCGTTGCACTGCCCAGTGCGCTGGGCGGCGAGGCCAGGGACCGCCGACCGCGCGGAGGCCAATGGCGCTCGCCTCGTGGGGCAGGGGCGCAGCAGAGCACGGCCTCGGGGCCGAGGGCCGTGGGCGGCCGCCGGCGCAGCAGCGGTCGAGGCGTGGCCTCCCGCGTCCTCCTCGCGACGGCTGCTGAAAACAGCATAGCCATCGCCCGCAGCAGCATCCTCAGAGTCAACATCGCCGTCATCACCGCCGATCCAGAACCGTCGCCAACCGTCCTGACCACCGACCAGCACAGGTAAGCACAAGTGCATGCGTTCGCAGGCATCACAATCACGCACAGCATCGCCGCAATCCGAAGCATCATCGTCATTAAAATCATCAGCATCATCATCAGCAGCAGCATCATCGTCGTCATCATCAGCAGCATCATCACGAACACCACCAGAAGCATCATCAACATCAGCATCAGCATTAAAATGATCACCATCATCACATCATCCTAATCAGCAGCATCATCATGTTGATCGCCAGCGTCATCGTCAACATCACCATCATCTGAGCCACCATAATCAGCATTATCATCATCAGCAGCAGCAGCATCATGAGCATCAGCAGCATCATCAGCAGCAGCATCAGAATTTGCATTATTATCACCATCATCATCATCATCAGCAGCATCATCATCATCAGCATCATCATCATCATCATCATCACCAGCATGATCGTCATAATCGTCGGTCTTATCGGCGTCAGTACCATCGTCGTCACGATCACCACCATAAACACAATAATAATCCCCTGATGTCCTCATCACAATAACCATCCCTCGTCCCCCATCCAGGAGTATCGTCTTCTGTTTTCCTATAAAATAAAACCCGTCCACTTTTTCCTTCAACACCAGTTCCGTCATGATGCACACTACATGGCCTTTCCTCCACTGCCATTTCCCTATTCTCTCCACGGCCAGTTCCGTATTCTCTCCAACCTCTCAACAAGAGCTCATGCTCCTCCTGCACCTTCAACTACAGCATTCGTTCACGATCCAGCTATTCGCATCTCTTCCATGCCTATATTTCATCTGACCTCCCTCCTCCATCCAGTCATTCACAAATCGTGATTCAGCTGTGTACCCTGTCTGGTAGCTGCCTTCATGATCACCATCATACTCATCAGAATCATGTTCGTCATCAGCATCATAATGAGCATCATCGTCAGCAGCAGCATCAGCGTCGTCATCATCAGCATCATCAGCAGCAACATCACCATCATACGCATCATCATCCTCATCGCATCGTCATCAGCACCATCAGCATGATCAACAACAACAACATCATCATCATCATCATCAGCATCATCATCATCATCATCATCATCATCATCATCATCATCATCATCATCATCTGCATCATCATCAGCAGCATCATCAGCATCATCATCAGCATCAGCATCATCATGATCAACATCATCATCAGCAGGATCACCATCACCATCATCACCATCATCGTTATCATCCTCAGCATCGTCAGCAGCATCATTATCATCATCAGCATTGTCATCATCATGATCAGCATCATCATCATCATCATCGTCATCATCATCAGCATCATCATCATCATCATCGGCATCTTCATCAGTAGCATCAGCATCATCATCGCCATCGCCGCCATCGTTAAGCATCACCATCATCGGCATCATTACCACCATCATCATCATCATCATCATCATCATCATCATCATCATCATCATCATTACCATCATCAGCAGCATCATCAGCATCAGCATGAGCAGCAGCAGAAGCAGCCTCATCAACATTATCATCACCATAATCATCACCATAATCATCACCAGAATCATCATCCTGCCAATTTCCTGCTTCCTCCTTCATCGTTCCTCCCTCATCCGTCGCTCTGTTTCCGTCATGCTTGCTCCCTCCTGCATCCTCGACTTCCCCCTCCCCCCCCCATGCGCTCTCCCCCCTCCTCCCCCCTCCCCCACTCCTTGCTTCCCTCTGGGAAGCCCCCTGCCTGGTTATGAGGCCGCCACCCCCCACCGCGCCATCCCCCGTCTGCGCGACGCCGCTGTCTGCTCGACAAGCCAGACTCCCCTGGGCCTCGAAACCGGTCTCCCCTCCCGGGGCCCACCCTGACCCGTCTTTCCAAAGTGCGCCCGCCCCAGGCGGCGAGAGCCTCCGAATCCGCCGCGACGACATGCGAAAAGACGACGACGACGACGACGACGACGACGACGACGACGACGACGGCGGCGACGGCGACGGCGACGACGAAGACGACGACGACGACGACGACGACGACGACGACGACGACGACGACGACGACGACGGCGGCGGCGGCGGCGGCGGCGACGACAACGGCGGCGGCGACGACGACGACGACGACGCCGTCGTCGAATGCCGCCAAAGGCCACGCTTCTCCTCGAGCGTCGAGTGCCCCCGGGGGCCCAGCGTTGCATCCCGAGGCGTGCTGCTCTCTCTCGCGGCCCCGGGGCCCGGTGCAGGGGGCCTCTCTGGTTAGGTCGGGCATGTCCCCCCACAGGCGGATTTTGGGCGCCAATGAAAAGTGAGTCAACAAAATGCCCCAAAATGCTCCAACAGACATCCAAAAATCATCCCCATGCTAGTTTTGGAATTGAACACTCCTCCTGCGGAGGGACATGCCCGACTCAACCCTCTGGGGCAGCCCGAGCTGCCAGCAGCCCGCCGCCGCGCGCCCGCCGCGCCGCGCGGGACCTCTTCGGCTCGCGCCGCGCCGACGACCTCGGCGAGCGCGGCGCGCGGGCGCCGACGGGCCCGCGCGCCGCGGAGAAGCGGGGGCCACGCCCCCCCCCGCGGAGAAGCGGGGGCCCGCGCGGCGGAGCGCCGGTGGGGCGCGCGGCCGCGCGGGCGGCGGGGCCCCAAAAAGCCAGAGCGCGGAGCCCGCCCGCGCGCCGCGAGCGTCGAGGCGAGGATCCCGCGGAGGAGGAGGAGGAGGAGGAGGAGGAGGAGGAGGAGGAGGAGTAGGAGGAGGAGGAAGGAGAGAGGAGGAGGAGGAGGAGGAGAGGAGGAGGAGGAGATGGAGGAGGAGGAGGAGGAGGAGGAGGACGAGGATCACATCGGGCGAGGATCAGTCCACGGGGACCTCCGGCCGCAGCGGCCGCGGCGCCCTCGACCGAGCTCCAGCACCATTGGGCCCAAACCTCGGGCGTCCTGGCATGCGTGGGCCCGGGAGCTCTCTTTCCCTCGGGGAGGCGACGCCAGGACGACGACAAATTCGGGTGAGGATAAGTCGAGAATCTCTGGGATCTGGCGGCGCTGGAGGATGTCCAGGGCGCCGCGGCCCTCTCAGAGCGTTCCAGAACGCTCCGAGAGCGTTCCCGGACGCTCGTCCTTCGGGGGCGCGCAAACATGGATTAGCGATCCATGGATTTGGCGCGCGGTCGCCAAATCCATGGATCGGGGAAGGTGCCCTCACCAAAATGCGGCAAAGGTGCCGCCGTCGTTCGGCGGCGAGTCCGCGATGTCCCACGGAGACGGGGCCCGTCGCCAATCCACGCCCCCGTGATCCGTGTTTGCGATCGCCTGAGAGCGGGGGCGGCCCACGCGGGCCCGCGCGGGCGAGCGGAGTGCGCGGCGCGGCGGCGCGGCGGCGGCGCGACGCGACGCCGGGGCGAACATTCGGCGGCGCGACCAGGGCGGTGGGGGAAGCGAGAGGGGGCAGGCCTTCTTAGAATGCGGGGGGGCTTCTCGGAAGCCCTCGCGGCGTTTGGGGGGTCCTCTGGGCCTCCCCGATGGGGTCGGAGCAAACGGGCTCGGAGAATCGCGCCGCATCGCCAATGCATGACCGATGCATCGGCGATGCGGCGCGATCCTCCGACCCCACGTGCTCGGACCCCATCTGGGAGGCCCAGAACATAGGGGTACCCCCTCCAGGCTGGAGCTGCTCTTCACCCTCGTGCCAGCTGTGTTGGGTGTTGGCACTGACCCAGACCTCCGGAGGAAAAGTGGTTTCAACCGCGGCGCGTTTCCTCTAGGTCGACCTCTGGGGGGGCGCCTGCTCGGGCCAAGCCGTCGAACGTCATAGAGCCGGGGCGAGAAAGACCGTCCCACGGGCCTAGGTGTCGAGACCTCCGGGGCCGAGCCGATGGACAAAAACACATCGTCGGACGTCTGTGTGCAGTACAGTCGGGGCGTTGACCTAAGGAACCCTAAATAAGGAACGAGGCCCCTATTTTCAATAAGTTAACTTCGATTTCATATCGAAAACCTAAGGACAACCTGAGGCAAACTGCGAAACAATTAAGGAACACGGAGCCCCTCCCCAACGAAAAGGGTTCCTTGTTCAGCGCCCCGACTGTAAGAAACGTTCTCACAAGGAGTCTGCTTCGCACACTGCCCATGCTTCATCCCCCCACGCCTTTTACGAGTCCCCCGGTGCTTCGGGGGGGCTGCAAGGCTGCGGCGGCGCGGCGCGAACCCTCAACGCCAGGGATGGGATCGGAGGTCCCTCCAATGTGGGCGTCGGAAGCAGAAAATCATGACGGTCGGCGCTCAACGTCTTCGACCTTTGGGGGCTGTTTCCCAGCCTTGGGGCTGTCAGAGTTGCAAGATTGGGAACCAGCCGCAGGGAAGGGGTCGGAATTCGCGGGGGGGTGGGGGCACGTCGCGAAAAACAATGCGACGTCGGAGGAGGGGCGGCGCCAGTGGTGATCCTGGCCTAAGAAAGTTGCCCCAAATTTTTCGCGCCACGTTGCAGCCCCTGGGGGCCCTCTGGGCCTTGGAAACGCTGGGGTCCACTCTGGCAGCGCCCGAGGGCAGGGAGGGCGGGGTGGAGGCGTGGGAGGGGGGGATCTCTGGGGGATCATCGGCGGCTTCGGAGCTTTATGGGGGAGGGCCCTGGAGGTCTTGAGGCCCCCGAAAGCGGTGTCCGTCGGCCGCACCTCTTCCAGGGCCGCCCGATGGCAGGGAGGGAGGGTGGAGTGGAGGCGTGGGGGGGGGGGGATCTCTGGGGGATCCTCGGCGGCTTCGGAGCTTTATTGGAGGGGGGGCCCTGGAGGTCTTGAGGCCCCCGAAAACGCCCCCGAAAACGCCCCCGCCGCCTTGAGGCCCCCGAAAACGCCCCCGAAAACGCCCCCCCTGGAGGTCTTGAGGCCCCCCGAAAACGCCCCCGAAAA